CAGATTGTAGTGTGAAGTGCTTTGAGTATTGTGGTTGGGTAGAAAGGCGCTATACAAGTACAGTCCATTTTCCATTTCCATTTTTCTCATGACCCTGACCCACAGATCCCTCCCCAACAAGAGACATTTCAACAGCACAACAGCAAAAGGCTTGGTTATAGTCAAGCTTTGGGTGCGCGCGCCCTCGCCAGCATGGATGTGTGATAAAAGATTCACTTTTTAATGTCTCTATTTCTCACGTGCGCGCGGGGTGTGGGAGTGAGGAAACGATCAGCTGCAGATAACAGAGCAGGGAGAGGGAGGACGAGGGAGAAGAGCGGTGAACTTAACTTTATCTGACTTATTTGATTTTATTTATTGTTTTTATTGTCCTACAGGCTCTGAGAGAAAATTAATTTGAAGCTGAGTTTTTGAAAAATATCATTAGATTACTCTAAACATCTGTAAACCTGCAAAATGAGGGAAAATCTGCATCAATTACAGACATTCTGTTCACGTGAGCAGCTTTCAGCACCTGTCATCCTCCAGACGCACGACTGAGCGTGTCTGAGCCAATCGCGTCTTTTGGCATTGATCAGCTGACTGATTTAAATACATCTTAACAGTCATGAGGTACTTTACATTGACTGCTTATGGTTGAGTGTGGGCGTCTAGAGGGTAGAACCTGAAGCAGGACCTTGTGCTCAAACTCTGAGGTGAAGCTGTGATCTATAAAGGAAAGTTGCGCAGAAACATGCGTACGCACTGTTTTCTAAATCTAATGGTACGTTCACACCGAATGCGTTTTGAACGGCAGGAGCGGCCGATTTACATGCAAAGTCTACGGTGGAGGCACCTCTAGGGGKCGTGYGTCGTGTCACGTACGTTTTGGGCGGTGCGCAAGGAAGGCGGAAGGGGCGCAGAGCGTTTCCGCACATGTGGTGCTGCGGAAGCCGCCGCCGCCCAAGCTACCGCCAGAGTTCAAATATCTGAACTTTTCGCCACTCGATGCATCTCCCACTGAAAACAGAAACAGACGGACTGGAGATCTTTACCTGAAATCGACCGTGTGCAGTTGGATTTTCTGGCAAGATATATCAACACCGATGTGGATCAGCTGCTCAGGACCAAAAAAAAAAGTCTGTCAGCTGGCAGCTTCTGGAGTGATGAAACTAACCAAACAAATTGCCTCTAAATSATCTGGTGAGTTAATTATCTGCTGTGCGCAACGTTCGCTTGCTTTTTAGTAAATATATCAAAGCCATTTTCTTTTATTTTATCTTTATTCACCCGCCGAGGACACGCTCCTCCCACACCCCGCTGCTGCTGCTGCTGCTTCTCGTCCTGGTCTGAACACTAGTGCATTCTTCGGTCTGAAAATAGCGCGTCCAACGAGAGACGTTTTGTGCTTTTTGGCCACTCAAAACACGTTCGGTGTGAACATAGCATGAATCTTTTTTGGAGTATGCCATTTTTGCCTTTTGGCCATACGTTCACTTTTAATACGGTTTCCACGCAGTCCTTTATAAATCTGACCCCAGGTCTGTTACGGTGAAGAAGAAGCTGAGGTGAAAGTCAAAGCTCTGAATGTTCCTGGTGGTGTGTGTTCATCACCACACCTATGGACATAAGATCTGAGTGTTACTAAAAGAATGAGATCCAGGATACAAGAAGCAGGAATAACCTCAGCCTCAGAGACAGAGGGAGGAGCTCTGTCATCTAGGATAAACTCAGAGGAACTCAGCTGCTCCTCCACATCCACAAATGTCCATCTGACGTGGTTTAAGATTCCAACTAGAGTGCCTCCTGGGTGTCTAATATTAGAGGACATCCAGACTTATTCCATTGGGAGAGACTCAGATCGCACTGCAGGGATCATATATCCTCTCTAGTCTGGGATCACCTTGAGGTTCTTCAGGAGGAGATGACAAGGGTGTCTTTGGAGAGGGACGTCTGGGTTTCCCTCCTGGACCTGCTGAGTCTGCAAATCAAACCAAGTGGAAAAAAGGATGGATGGATAGATGGATGTTATATGGATGGATGGATGTGTGGATGGATAGATGAATGGATGGATGGATGGATGGATGGATGGATTGATGGATGGATGGATGGATGGATGGATGGATGGATGGATGGATGGATGGATGGATTGATGGATGTATGGATGTATGGATGGACAGATGGATGTTATATGGATGGATGGATGTGTGGATGGATTTGAGTTGGATAGATGGATGGATAGATTGGAGGGCGGCTGTAGTAGAGTGGTTAGGGGAGTTGTCCTGGAATCGGAAGGTCACCGGCTCGATCCCCCATCCAGTTGTTTCAGTCATCGTGTCCTTGGGCAAGACACTTCACCCACCTTGCCTACTGATGGTGGTCAGAGGTTCCGGTGGCACCGGTGCATGGCAGCCCCACCTCTGTCAGTGCACCCCAGGACAGCTGTGTCTACAATGTAGTTCACCACCATCAGTGTGTGAATGTGTGAATGTCTGTAAGTGTAAAGCGCTCTATAAGTTCAGTCCATTTACCATTACCATTTAGATGGATGGATGGATGGATAGATGTTGTATGGATGGATGAATAAATGTTGGATGGATGTTGTATGGATGGATGGATGGTTGGATGGATGTTGGATGGATGGATGTTGGATGGATGGATGGATGTTGGATGGATGTTGGATGGATGGATGGATGGATGGTTGGATGGATGTTGGATGGATGGATGTTGGATATGTTCTTATTTAGTGGCCAGTTTCCACTCAGAAGCTCCTAGTGTTCTCCACGTGTTGTGCTGAAAGTTGCCTGTTGAAGATGTACAGTGTTAGTGTGAGGATTTGGCAAGGACAGATCCAGGGCGCAGGCAGGTTTCAAAGTTTAACAAAAAGTTTTAATAAGACAACAAAAAGAGGGCTGCTGGCAGCAAACTTACAACTTCTGAAGAATATCAGGCACGAGGAGGGCAAAGCACAAGGAACCAAACCAGACACATGCAAAACACAACAATGATCCGACAAAAGACAGAGACAGGACAGGGCTTAAATACACAGAAAACTAATTACTAAACAGAACACACCTGGGGAGAAACACAAGGGTGACAATCAAGGAGATGTGGGGCAGCTGGGCAGAGAAACACAGGGGAACACTGAAAACACTAGAAAACTAAGGAAAATAAACACAGACCATGACAGTACCCCCCACTTAACGACGGCTCCCGACGTCGAAAAGGGAGAGGCACGGGACACGAGGAATACAAACACGAGACAGGGGAACTCAAGACAAAAAACACAGAAGTCCAGGGGGGCGTCCGGAAAACTGTCCAGCTAGTGCACCCGCCACCGCACGAGGCCCAGCTGGAAGCGTAGCAGAGCCCCTATCACAGGAGGAGGCGGAAGCAGACGTGGAACCAAGGGAGGAGGCGGGAGCAGACGTGGAACCAAGGGAGGAGGCGGGAGCAGACGTGGAACCAAGG